AAAAGACCTGACAAGAGATATTTTCGAATTAGTCATGTCCTTATGCTAATAAGTAACTTGCAAAAAAGATTTTTCTTCAACTCGTCTGCAAAAAAACTGCAGCCAAATCTATTTCGACTTCATATGACAAGACTTTCTTTGATCAATTGTTAAATCAACTCTTTCATAATAGTCTAAAATAGCGGGCTAATACCTACTTTGTAATGTATCATTTTCAGTGGTCAGGACCAAATGTGGTCAAAACACACTTTAACATAGTGAGTATATTAATAATAAAACCTTATTCAATTAAAAAGAAAACGACTTTTCTTCTTCAACTAAATATAAGAGAAGAACAAATTCTATTTTCACTGAATATCTGTCGATGATATCGACAAAGAAGAGAGTACTTTGTATAGTGGGTTCATGAGAAAATTAAAATGTGTGTATGCTACCATGATTTTTGGTGATTGCCCATCGAATAATTAAATTACGAGGGAGTTTATATCTAAAGTGCGTTTATTGCTTGTGTTATTTTTCCTTATATATTTGTATAGAAAGGTTATTTTTATTCAGACATCATTTATTCTATTTTGAGAAGAAGCGGCGCTTACTATGAATTTAGTCCTTATTCTGACAACATCGAGAATTAAAATAAAAATAATTAAAGAGTACCCATCTCCACTTTTTGTGTTAGTTTGAAGTGTACGGGTTGTATTATACATTAATCTATTTCGCAGGAAAAAGTTCTTCTTAGTTTTTGAAAAATTAGCCTGCGGCTTAAAATTAGCAAAATATATATGTTTTCCAGTCTCATTAGAAAGTTTTACCAGTTTTAAATAATCACCAAAATTTTTTTAATTGTCCATCGAATAATGGTATTCCGAGGGAGCTTATGCCCCAGTTTGTTTTCCCTGATCAAACTACTAAAATTGAACTTGGAACAATACATTTCACCGACTTTAAGCTGCAACTTTAACTTTTCGTTCCACTTAATGAGTAAACTTACGCAAACTACCTCTGACTATCATCACCCGAAGCATTAGCGCAAAACCGACTTTTTACACGGAGAACAGAATCGGTCCAAATTTTTTTTCCGAAGTACACAGTTCCTATGGCGAGTGGATTTGTAGAGAGTGTGCTAAACGATGGAAAGGACTGATACCATTCATTGATGAATGTAGTGAAAGTGAGAAGGATGATGAGTACCGACCGGAGCCGGATTTGCCGATATTAAGACGAGACGAAGGCGTTGATCGTAGTCGATATAAAGAGCAGAAAACTGCTCTGTTAACATTTCTACAATTATCTGGCAACGATAGAGAAATCTGGTCTATACTGAACTATAATAATTTAACTAAAAAATCGAAAAATACATTTCTGTCTACCACTCGATCTGTTATTAAAACCGTACTTTTATTTCTTGCTCCTAATGATATTACTGATGTGAAACGTGATCTATTCGATACAAAGAACGATTCGAAATCCCGTTTGATACATGGGAAATTTCTGGCAGTAATGGATTCCAAATACAATCAGGAATATGATACGTTCGAGAATTGTTGAGCAATATTTTGAGTACACTGCTCAAATAATCCGGGTTTTCCTCCACTTGGTCGCACAAGTCTTTTATCGTTACTGGATTCGTGTAAAGCTTCCACAAGACACAGTTTACAAGGAGTGAACTATTTTGCAGCTAACGCTAGTCTGGCATTTGATAATCTTATTGATATGGTGAATGATCTATCATTGGATAGTGATTCAAAAAAATACTCGTTGATGATTTAAAACGCGGACGAATGTATCTGAAGACTGATTATAAAGTTCATGTGCAAAAGTCGTCAACTATAGCTGATCATTGCATTAACTATGCACTTTCACAATCAAATGACACTGCTATGCCGAGAAGTGTGACCATCGACATGATGACGTGTGTGTAGAATGTAATAATTTGGTTGTCACTTTGGAAAAATTACGTACTATGATAAAGAGTTCAGTAACTGACAACGAATTATTAGATCGTGAATTGGCTAAACTTAAAATGAGTACGGATGCTATTGAGGCATGGAAATGTCATCAGCTACGAACTGTGAATCAGGATCTGTCAAGACAAGAATTGTTGCAGGATCTGCCTGCCAATTCAGTTTATATTCTGACAGATTGGGCGATGAAATGGCTTCCGGAAAAATACGTGGAGTCACAGGAAGATTTTTTCGCCAAGCGAGGTTTATCATGGCATATTAGTGTGGTGGTGAAGAAAGTCACTAGTACTACTACAAACAAGCACACAGCCAAAGAATACTACGGGTAATGATGAAAGTGAGAATGAAGAAACTAGTGACAAAGAGGCCGAGGAAGAGGAAATTCTGCACAAAATAGTTATACTCATACAGTTTATGTTCATGCTGTGGATCATTGTGTTCAGGATAATGAATCTGTCGTTGCCATTCTTCAAGATGTATTGACACGTGTTAAAGCAGATGATCCATCGACAGAATATGCGTACTGTCGTGCAAATAACGCAGGATGTTACCATTCTGCCGGTACAATCCTGTCGTTACCAATGATATCTGAAAAAGCTAAAATCAAAATATTACGTATTGATTTTTCTGATCCACAGGCTGGAAAATCGGCCTGTGGTCGATACGCAGCTGTCATAAAACCAAACGTACGACGATATCTCAACGAAAAACACAATATAATGAATGCTGCAGAATTTGTCGAGGCCTTACATTCATATGAAGGAGTGAAAGGAGTACAGTCGTATGAATGTAGTCTTATTAGAAATCCGAAACCGACAAAAGTTACCTTTCCAAAAATTACATTTGTGAATAATTTCGGGTTTGAACACGATGGTATACGAGTACATAGGGCATGGAACGTCGGCGTTGGTAAATTACTTAAATGGCCATTATTGGATACACCGAAAGCTATAGGTCATCTACAGTGTCAGCCATGTTCCTCTAAGCTACAATTGTCGTCCATTACCACAGTTCCTAAAGAACGTAAATCTCTATCCGACCGTTCCTCGATTACCATGACAACTACAGTCGAACCGGCGGTCCAGGCTAGTAGAAGTAAGCTGTATGACTGTCCCGAAGAGGAATGTGTAGCTTCGTTTATTAGATACGGAAACTTAACTCAACATTTATGTACAGGAAAACATCGACGTCGAATAGAACGTAGTTCAATGAGAGACATGGGTATGACTATGTATCACTCGAAACTGGAAAATACTGGAGTAAGATCAATGATTTCTCTTCAATTGGAAGAGACTACACCTGATGATGACGATGATACAATTCGTATTACACCAGACAGAGAATGAGCTTTGCCAAAAGAACGAAAAGTGACACGTCTGAATGAATCTCAGATAAAATATCTCACTGAGAAGTTCGATGATGGTGTACAACAGAGAATTCGATGGAAACCAGAGGAAGTATCAGCTGAAATGCAACGAAAAAAATGTTTGAAGAATAGATTCTATTCCACACCTTGCGTTCATATTTTTCTTTAGGTATAGTGGTGGTAATTTAACAAGTGGAAATATGTAACTGTTGCTAGGGTCAATACTAGCAAATTTCTGTATCAAGTCCTCCTGGTTAATAAAACTTGTCAGAATTTCCGATTGATCATGCGACGTCTTATGTAATATCTTTTGAATCTCGTCATCAGCAGGTGGATGTGAGCGTTCAAATTTTGCCTGATTATCTAATAAATCTCGACAGATGTCTAATTGTTCTGCTTGTTTTA